CATGGAAAGCTGACCAAATGATTCAAGATAGGGATCGTAATGGGGAATGGGTAGAAACTGTGTACACAAAAAAAGTTTTGTTCGTAAATGAATTCACTACATTTGAAAATCAAGTTGTTTATGAAGATTTACAACTTTTGCGCTCACGTGCAATTGAATTCAGAAAAGATCGACAACGTAAAGAACAAGCGAAGAAACGGGCTCAAGAGTGTGATAGATTTGCTGCCATATTAAAAGATATTATTATTAAGTGTATGATCCTCTATACAATTTATTTATTCTTTACCGGCGTTCGTAATTACGCGGAATGGGCAGTTATTCCTTCTGATTTGAAATCTTCCCTTCAAGCCGTGACAAGAGCATCTTTAAAAACCCAGAATCAAAATAGACTTCAAACGATATCCCTCGACAACGGCGAAACTCAACCTTTGATTGAAGTATTTCAAGAATCTTCGAGTAGGTTCGTGTTTAATATAATGAGTAAAAAAAGATACGTCAGAAATCGAAAGGATGTCTTTGAGGTCATTGTCACACATCATCCACCTCAAATCTTGGGTCGTTATGATGTCCATGAAATTGACGAAGGTCGATATGCGTTTGATATCAACACTAGTGGCTCAAAAGGTGAAGTTTTAGTTGAAATCAAGGAAAAGAATGGTTCATCAATAAAAATCATTACTTGGAAAGATAAAGGTGAAGGCATTAGAAGGAATAATGATACGCTTAAAGAGCATAAAGAAGATCCTACTTTCATGGAATACGTTCAAAGCGGAGCTGTCGATTCTTATCATCAGGTGCTTTATTACTCGAAATCCGCATATGAGGAAGCAAAAATCTATGTGGATTACACTGTAGGATGCATAGCAGATGCATTATATAGAGCCAATATCTATATACAAAATCAATTGAATGATTTTTACAAGTATCTCGAAGATAATGCTAATTATTGGAAACCAATTATTCGCGAGAAATATTTGTATTTGAAAGCTACTACAAAAGAATATACTAAAGAAGGGCGTTTAAAGGCCAAAGAAGTGTATTATAAAGTAGAAGAAGGAGTGTTTAATTTGGCGCGTTTTTTAAAGGATCAATATGACGAATTTTATGAGCCTCTTTAAGTTAATTTCTTTGTGAGTTCTCTTTCTTTTTCTTCCCTTTTCTTTTATTTAAATTTTTCTATTGCTTTATTTTTCATTTGCTAAATTTAGTTAACTTTATAAATTTCTCTCTCTGTTAAATTTTAGCTATTGTTATTAATTAGTTGTTTAAATTAGCTATTATCATATTATGGCAATTTACAATTTTCTCCATTTGATTTGATTTTCTTTTTATTATTTTCGAATTTTATAGCTTTGGTTGCTGAATATATCGATTAAATATAAAAACAAAATTTTTTCGTGTATATGATCAGAAAGTTGATGAAATTAATTTTTTATTTATTTTATTTTATTTTGTAAAAATATTAAGATTTTAAGTATTATTTGTATATATATTTATTATTTTGTTGAAATTAAATCCAAAATAGGACTCGTACTTGAATTTGTATCGAGTTTACGATTTTGATGTGAGGATTTAATAAAAATAAAATATGTTATTTCATTAATTTAATGGCTACCCCAGCATAACCTTTACGAAATGTCACGAAATGACCGGCATTAAAAGTTCCGGCTAGAATTAACCGTGATAAATAACCGAGTGGCAAATTGAACGGGCATCAAAGCGCATAAAACATATACCTTTCCAATTTCCATCATTTTATCCTCAAAACTACAGCTGAACACCATATATCTACTGCTTCTATTGACGTCCATTATGACAATAATAGATTTTACTTTATATGCATGAACTAAAATATGACATTATCAAGCCGCTATAGTCCTTCGGACTAAAAAATGAAAAAGTTGGAGGACTCAGTGTGATAAAAAGTAAGTCACGTGATTTCATGACATTTCGTATCCAGGAGAGACCGTCAAGGTTACGCAACATTTCGAGATTATCACGTGTATCTGACAAATAAAATTATATAAGTTTCGATATTGTCACATATTAATTAACCAATCAAATCAAATCCAATTTGTACATAATACTGTAATATATAATATTTAAGAATTTTTTAAATAATATTTTAATAATTATAATAAAACAAATTCTAAATTATATTTTTACAATTCTAAAAATGATCTTTTTGCATTATCTAATTGATTCTCTATTATTGTTACATTATCTGTTACTACTTTTATATCATTTAAATTATCTTCAACTTCATCTTTATTATTCTTATCAATGGATTCATTTTTAACCTTTTTCTTCTTTATATTTGTTAAATTCACTATCAATGCATCAACGTTATTTTTAACCTTATTCTGTAGATAGTTTAAACATTTAAAATACTTGAATTGGCATCGTTGCAAGCAATAGCTATAGTAACCATGCCTGTATGCTAAAACATCGCCATTAAGAAAGTCAGAGTCATTAGCCTGATCACAATAAATATAATCATATAAAATAGAAATTTGAGGTTAACAAAATCTTACGATAAGTAATGATCATTATCTCGTCATCTAATGAAGGAAGTTTATATGTGTTAATACCATCAGATGAGAATATAATGATTAAAGAATACTGGTTATGTAATTGATATATCTTTATGAATGTCTCTAAAATCCATATATCACATTTTTGAGAAAGCATATGCAACTGCTTTAGTATATATGGATATTTTACAGAATGCATAAAATGTTGTTAAAAAGAATTATCATGCCGTTGTTGAAATATAAAATGAGCTTCTTTCTTTAATTGTTAAGTTGTGAAAAATTTAGCTATATATCTTCGAATAATGCTATAAGTTATTTTGATAAGACAATAACTTAATGAAGTAAGATGATTAATAATTACATTAAATATTAGATGATCAATTTTCATCTAATAAAAAACATCAGAGAAAAACATTAAAGGTATACGTTTGTAATTTTTTTGATCAAATTGAAGAAATAGATTACTTTAACAACATATGTAAGCATTTTTGTAAGTTGGCCAATTACCTTTATGATGGTGTACTGTATAAATATCAAGAACTAGAGGAACTAAATTATTAAAAATGTCAGTTAGATATAAAATTCGATATCTTTGCATACATGACTAAATTTTAAATAAATAGTATTAACTATATCATACTATATTATGTGTATAATATATAAAATTAAATTAATTTTTCATAGTTATGATTTCTTACTAAAATTCTTACATGTTCTAAATATCCCTTTGTAGATATTATTAAACAAATATAAATTTTTCAAAAAAACAAGCTTTTGAGCAATTAACAATATATGAAAAGAACCTATCATAGACAAAAATGATATAATAAATTGAAGAATATTTTCATTTTAACAAGAAGCTATTATATAAGAGCTTTGTGAATGAAAAATTGATCAGGTCAGTCTGCAATAATAGGAATTATATAATTAGAAAGATATGCACACATTGACTTTTGATCATATATGATTTACAATGTACTTATGTATCCCTCTACATTTTTCAAGCCTCTTTCAACAAAATCAAAAAGGATGGAATTATGTATATGTTGATCATTTTTTTCTCTATTAACCTATCATTATAGCTATGTATCATCAGTCTATTTATCATCTCTTTATCAGAATCTTCTTCTCTTGCATAATTTTACACATGATCAATGCTAAGATTTATAATAAACTACATATCAAGATGCCTTTCAATTAATTTAAAGTTCACAATCTTTAGATTGAATATTCTATTATGTAATATCACCAGCATTAAGCATAGATTTGCTAAAATTATTACCATATGTGCTGTCTAAGAGGTTTTAGTTGTATCAGATTATTGTTAGATATATATATTATGATAGTTGTTAACGTTTAATATAAGAATATTTTCTGAATGATATCCAAGAGCATTCTTTATATATTCTTTATATGCATTAGACATTTGTTTCTTTTTCTGATTGACCGACCTTGACATTGTAATTATACTGAGATTTGCTATAGTATTCAAACCTTTATTACTTATCCCTATTGAATCTAGATAATAAGCTATATCAAATTTAAAAGTGGTAATTTTTGTGTTATTCAACGAGAAAAGAAGGTAGCAAATAAATAATATAATTTTTTTTCATATGATCTATCATTTGATTGCTACATTCAAAAGGCTAAAATGCTGCATAAAGTTGTTCAAAAAAATCTTTCAAACAGAATCACTTTCTTTCATTAATTCTCACATTTCATCAAAATCATAAATAGAATTCTTGTTCTGCACATATTCTCTTTCATATATAAACTTCGCTATTATTTTGATAACTTCAGAAAGCTTAAACTTTGTGTTATATATACTTACCTCTTCTTCTTTCATAACTTTTTTCTGTTTAGGATTTCTTTTCAAAGGATTTTCTACCAAACTTATATAGCAAATATTACACAAAATAATATCCTCCTTTCAGATTTCCTTTGTTAGACCTTTATTCTCAGCTTCTCTCCACTTTTCTCCTTTTAATAAGCGAAATCTACTCAATTCAGTGGCTTAGCATTCATTGCAATTTTTCTTTTCAAATATATTGAAAGTCGTTAAATTCAAATAAATTTACTTAAAATTATTAATCTACAGCGTTAAAAGTTTAAGGAATGCTTAGCATCTGTACACTTTTCATAGGATAAATAGGCTATATAAGCTTCTTAAAAAAGTATTGTAAAATGTATAAAAAATGATCTATTAAATTGTGTAACATAATTTCTTTATATGGGATATAGTCACCCCTAGACATTTCATATTTACCTCAAGTATTGTCACAAAAATTTCATATCATGTGAATTATTGACTAGCATTATGGCATTAAGAAATTAACTATATGACAAATAAGGCTGTGATAAATAGTATTTCACTTACCAAAAAAAATTCTGTTCTCAAATACATAGTAAAAATAAAAGTTGAGTTTTAATAAAATTTTAATATATTTAATAGATTTTTATAATAAAAAAAAAATAAAAAAAAAATAAAAAATAAGCTAATATTAAATCTGAATATATTTTTATCTAAAAATTATTTTTAATATATAAAAATAAAATTAATTTTTCTAGCAGTTTTATTTTTCTTTATTGCAAAAATATCATATTATTATTTTTTATATATAATTAAAATAATATATAAGAATTTCAATTTATTATAAATGAATTAATTCAAATTGAAAAGTTTTTTATCTTAAAATTAAAAAAAAATTGTTAAGTTATTAAATAAAAAAAAAATAAAAATTGATTATTATTTTTCTGATTTTAAAATCAAAATGTAAGATATTTTAAAGGAATCTAAAATAATAATTTTATATAGTAATTTGATAAAAGACTTTAATATAATAGATAGATAGATATTTTTCTTTATAAAAAGATATAAATTATATAAAATTTGTGATTCTTTTCTAAGTTTTTATATAATTTTTAAATTTATTTTTAAGCAATTTCAATTTTTAGGTTTGATATTTTAGTTTATAACTTAAATTTTATAGATTTTATGATTTAATTCTTTAAATTCATATTTCTTTAATTTATAATTCTATTCTAATGCTTAAAGTTTTATAATTTTATTTTAACTATTTAAATTAAAATTATAAATTTTTGTAAAAAATTTAATCATTTTATTTTTAATTTTTTTGATTTTAATAATACAAATATTTAATTAACTGATTTTCAAAATATTTTAATTTTGATTTATATTTTTAATTTTATTTAATAATTCTTTTTTTATTATAAATGAAACAAAACTCTCTCTAATCTATATCTTTAAAGAGAAATGATTATCAAAAAATAAAAAAATTATTTTTAAAATAATCATTTGATTTCAAAAGAATAAATAAATAAATAGTTTTATACTTAAAAAAAAGAATATGCAAAATAATCTATAAAAATAAAAAGAAGAGAAATAATTTGCAATATTATAATAGATAAATGATCTATATCTCTTATTTTTAGTAATTTAATTTTATAATAAAATAAATCTTATTATATTATTTATTATTAATATCATTTAATTCATTTAATTTATATTTTTTTATTTATATTATTTTATTTATTTTTTTATTTTTATTATTTTATTTTATTTA